TTTCTAAAACTCTCTTCTAGGTCTACTTGAAGATTATTTTCTTCATTAAGGTTCAAATGGTGGTACTTAAAATAATGTTAACAATTACAACAGACCCAATCACAGACAATACCAGAGTAGAAATATTAACTCCAGAATTGGGACTTTTATCAGTAGTAGGAGTAGGAGTAGGAATAGGAGTAGGAGTAGGGGTAGGGGTAGGAGTAGGAGTAGGAGAAATGTCATCAGGCATAAACAAAGCTACTTGTGCAATGTTGGATACTTTTGATGTCAAATTGCTTTTATCTATGCTTTTAATGGCAATAAATATGTGAGTTGCATTTTCTTCTGAGATATTCCCTGGTTTAAATGCAAAGATTTCCTTGGAATTGGCCTCCTTTGGTGACAGATCAGTAGTATTTACTTGAAGAGCATCATCAAAACTGTCTCTTAGATCAAGAATACTTCCACTTATTTTTATGATATAATATTGAGCTGAGAAAAAAAGTTACATGTAGTTTAGAGACTGGAGCATAGCATATTCATTCCTTTTTTTAATTCTCAAAAATGTCTAGTTATACAAAGTAGATACTCAGATCAAAAACCTTACTCATTTTTTAATAAAAGCTGAATTCTGATCTTAAGCTCTGCAAACTGCTACCTTCTTTGTATGGAAAGTAGGACCACGTTAAAATGTGTCATTTGATTGGTTAAAAAATAACAGATTATGAAATTAATACTTTGCTAGGCTGTCAATATAAAACCATTCTCCCCTCGCCCGCCCTTACACCCTTGTTTTTTGCAATTAGCACCTTTCACTTAAGCCAAAATCATGTGACACTTCGTCCTTACCTTTCCCAACATCAAAATTATCTCCTGGTGCTGTCCATGTAAGAATAATCTCATCCTCCTGAAGTGTGGCATCAAGGTCTGTGATTTGACTTGGTGGATATAGGTCATCCAAGAGATATTCTGGATGTGGGACTTGTGACACCACAAATGCACCTCCAGACACTGTTCGGCTGAAATCCTCCAAGGTGGTCTGAGTATCCTCATCAATTTCAGGTCTTGGTGGGTTTGCTTCAATTTCCCCTGCATTAAACATTTCCTGGTTTATAATGGGCAAAACTGCTGGTATTTTTTATAATTCAGGGAATCACCTTCTTCACCTCATTTTCTTTTCCTTTTAATAAATATATATACAGTCACATTTTTACTAAGTTTTGTGACAATCATAAGCATCCAATTGGTGAGAGAATTCTTTCTTTGGTAGGATATTGTAGGACAGAGTCAGATAACACATTGCTTTAGAATTAAGCCTACACTGGATGAGAGAAATATTATATAATTCAATATGTGCCTTTTTAAAAAAGGAATTGCTTTACCTCTTGAATTATCAGCGCTCTGGGAATATATCTGGGGAAATCATTGCCAGTTCTCCTCCACCCACTTGTGCTAGGTCCCTCCCTCCATGCTGCAAGTGCTAAGGAATAATTCTTCTGTTGTATCCCAATTGCTAGCAGAAAGCCCCTAAAAGTCACAAGGGACCAGATAAAAGAAAGCTAGCAAAGAATGCATTCTTAATTCTTACATCACTTTACTATACATGTTGTTTTTTTTTTTCTTTTTGACTTATTAAAATTCCAAATGAATGTTTACTCTTACAGCATATGTAATCTGAAGGATAAATTCTGCACTGGCTTGTGCTTAGGTTCATAAACTGACCTGTTTCCTTCATCTTGAGCTGAAAGTTGGGCATATTATTGCTGATATACATAACATGTTCCAAACTAACACAATAATAACTGATGTTTTTGAGTGAGATCATGTCTTTTGCAGGAACGTGGATGGAGCTGGAGGCCATTATCCTCAGCAAACAAATGCAGGAACAGAAAACCAAAATACTGCGTGTTCTCACTTATAAGTGGGAGCTAAATGATGAGAATTCATGGACACAAAGAGGGTAACAACAGACACTGAGTCCTACTTGAGGGTGGAGGTTGGGAGGAGGGAGAGGAGCAGAAAAAATAACTATTGGATACTAGGTTTAGTACCTGGGTGACAAAATAATCTGTACAACAAACCCCCATGACACGAATTTACCTATATAACAAACCTGCACATGTACCCCCAAACCTAAATTGAAAGTTTAAAAAACAATAATAACTGACCTTTTTTGAGTGCTTGAGTGCTTACTAGGTGCCAGACATTGTACCAAAGCTTAGATTAATTTAGAGGCAAATCCTAGTATGACTGAGAACTTTATTCCGTAAATGGGAAAAGCTATATTTTGAGTTGTGATCAACCTGTTTGAAGCCTCAATTATATAAAATCACCAATATTATTCAAACTATCACTGGATTATAAATATCATGAGTTACTCACCGTTCACTACCCAGCCTGGTATATATGCGGCTCTATTCAGTGGAGGCTTTAAGCTTAGCCTGGCAGTGTTTGCTCCTCCATGAGCCCTTACTTTTAAGCTGTAGCTGCCATTTTCTGTATATGCTGTAAAATACCTGGAGTAGACCCCATCATTCTTGAAAGAATCAGCACCTTGTTATAGAAATGAAGGAATAAAGTATTGTAAAGAGAAACGTATGCATTTTCAAAGATAAGCAATTGGCTTCTACAAGGATATCCTCTAGATTAGGCTTAATATTTTGAGATTGCCCCTTTGGAGAATATTTCCATTATATTCTGCCAAAACAATATATTGTAGAATTGATACCTTTGAGTTATTTTGATATCTACTAGGTCTATATAACATACATACACACACATTGATATTTATGTATGCATAATAAATGCCTAAATACTTCACCTTCCCATCCTTATTAATTCATATACAGAGTATTACACATAGTACTCTTACAATTTGTCCACCACTGTTTGCTTTCAGCTTGCTTTCTCTAACTCTAAACACATTAATTATGTCATTTCTCTTTTTAAATCAAAAGGGTCTCTACTAAGGAAAAATCCTATCTTTGTGTAGGATTTAATTCTCACAACAGTCAACTAAAATTACTAAATTTGGTGATTTTTAGAGATACACATTTCCCAGATTTCCTAGGGAAAAGGTCCCAGCATTCTGTGTTCTTACAAGCCCTCGAGATAACTCCTTTGCACACTAAAGTTTGTCTGCAAACTAAAGACATTTGCAGACTAAAGAATGTCTGCTCTATGTCATTGTTAATCACCAATACCATCTCAGGTAAAGGCACTCCAAATTGGCAAATTTCCCTAATTACCTAAATGGTCATCTAGCAAAATGTTGAGAAGGGAAACATGGTGCATATAAGTTTTAATGTAGTATAGATTTGTAGAAAGGGGAAAAAGAGGCAAGGAATAGTTGTGGAAATATTGATATATCTGAAGAAGACATTGAGGTACACAAAAGAACAATTTCACCTTCTCAGTTTTTCTCAGGGGCAACTCTAGTTGAAGATATGATTATAAAATGATTGAATAAGTTACATTGCAAAATACACTGATGGAAAATTTTGTTAATTCGAGTGCCTATCAATATAGTTATTTCCTTGCTTATTAACCTCTTAACAGAAGCTTCTGTTCCTAGAACAATCCAGAATCTAGGGAAAGGGTCTTTAGGTATCACCCATCTGTGCAGACCATGGAGACAGAGAATGGCCAACATTGCATCTTGATTCCTACCAGCCAGACCTGGTATCTGATGCCCCAGTGATGAATCTTCCTCTCTCGTGGCAGTGCTAGCTGCCCCTGGGTCCCAGTTCTCAGGACTATATTTATACTGTGTTCCAGCTGTTGAGGATTACTCCTGCTTTATTTTCCTGCCAGAGACCCAAGTTCTACCACTTAATCGCATCTAGTTTGCTTGTGCTTCATCCTCTCTAGCCAGACTTTCTTGATGCTGTCCTCAGTCTCCTGAATGAGACCTTTCTAATTGGTGACAGACATTGGTTGCCTGGATGATAAACAATAATGATGACAAAAAAATTACATGTATGGCCAGGCATGGTGGCTCGCTTCTGTAATCCCAGCACTTTGGGAGGCTGGGGTGGGAGGATACCTTAAGCCTAGGAGTTTGAGACCAGCTGAGGCAAGATAGTGAGACCTTTTCTCTTTTGCAGACCTTTTCTTTACAAAAAAAATGTAAAGATTAGCTGAGCATGGTGGCACACACCTGTATCCCAGCTACTTGGGATGCTGAGATGGGAGGACTGCTGGAGCCTAGGAGGCAGAGGCTTCAGTGAGCTGAAATGGTGCTACTGAACTCCATCCAGCCTATGTGACAGAGTGAGACCTCATCTCAAAAAAACAAAAAACAAAAAAATTCAACAAGCAAAAACATTTTTATTTTTATTTATTTATCGGGTATTTTTGTTGTTACTGAGACAGAGTCTCTCTCTGTTGCCCAGGCTGGAATGCAGTGTTATGATCTTGGTTCACTGCAACCTCCACCTCACAGGTTCAAGTGATCCTCCGGCCTCAGCCTCCCAAGTAGCTGGGTTTACAAGTGTGTGCCACCACACCTGGCTAATTTTTTGTGCTTTTAGTAGAAAAGAGGTTTCACCATGTTTACCAGACTGGTCTCGAACTTCTGACCTCAAGTGATCTGCCAACTTTGGCCTCCCAAAGTGCTAGGATTACATACCTGAGCCACTGTGCTCAGCCCCAAAACATTGATTGAGTGTTTACCACATGCAAGACATTTGCTAGGCACTCTGTAGGTTTTACCTATATAAAATTTCCTGCTGGTCCTGCTGTTCCTCCTTAATTTGCATCAATTCTGTTGTCTGTCTTACTGCCCCACAATGCCACAGGGACTCACAACATGCTGAATTAGGAAAATATTGGCTTATTCATAAAAACCTGTGAATTACCTGCACCATTATCCAAAAGTTCCAAAACTTCTGTATGTCCACTCTGTGATTCAATGACAGCAGTCACGTTGGCTCCAAGAACAGGTACAAACCCTTGTAGAATTTCTGCATAAACAATCATTGGGCTGGGGAAACTGTTTATGTCCTTATTCATTTTAGCATTCAATGTGATTGGAGGCACAGAAGAATTTGCTGCTCGAGAGGTTACTGTAATAGTTAATGTTTCTGGGTTTGCTTTGGCTTGAAGACTGTATGCCCAAGTGCCCACCTAAAAATTTCAACCGAAATATAGTAAGTATCCAAAGTCAAGCTACTTTCTGTATTTCCATTATGTAATTCTAAATAAATTATATAATGGGGAGTAGAATAAAGAGGTTTTTAAGGATGTTGAGGATAAACGGGTAAGGGCTGAGGCAGTTCAGACAGGGCATGCCAAGTGGTATCATTGATGATGTGTACACTTTGCTACACCTCAACTGGAAAAAAATAAGTTTTAGAAGGTTTGCCTTGGTTTTGACCTTAGAGTCCACAGATTCATCAATCCTGGTAGGGTGAAAAAGGAAGGACCCTGTAGCTCTCTACCCACCAATTTGCATAGACTCTTCCTACATTTCCTTCTTAAAATTCTTCTCAGACTGTCTTGACTACCTTTTCTTCCTTCTTCTTGATACGTAAGTTCTTTTTTCCTTTTTCCTACCATCATAATTTTAAGGACACAGGCATAGAAAGTACATACTATTTTATCTTCATTTTAAAGTTGATACAACCTTTGGTACTCACATTTATGACATTAAACAATTTATGTTCAGTTTTTAAAAAATGTTGACAGGAAGTCTAAAAGCTGATTGCTTACCTTTGCAGTTCCTGGAATACTGAGATAGGCCATTTTGGAAGTTTCATCCACTGTGAAATTTTCCATGATTGTTCCATTGGGATCCCAGAGAGAAATACTGGGAGGCAGTCTGTTCCATGTGATGAGAAAGAATGTGTCCTTTCCCACTGTACTGTCGATTATGACAGTGTCGTTCATCCAGGGATTACTGTTCAGTGTTAATCCCTTACTTTCAAGCTGTTTAAATAGATTTCAAAATTAATTGAAAAGACAGTAATTTTATGCTTTTTAAAGACGGTTTTTAATTTCTGGCCTGAGAACAAGCTTATAAATGGCAAACCACCTTAGGCTTGTGATCTCTCTGCAAGCTGGTGATGATATGACAGTTATCAATTAAAAAGTGAGGAAGTAAGAGACTTTGAGCAGAAGCATGGGTTTTACAGTCATGAATATGACCTTACTGTTTTTTCCCCGGTTGTCTTGGCAAGCATTCATGGATATTTTCCTGATATGGAATTTTGAAATAATTTTTTCACACAGATAGAGGGAGTAGCACTGGACAGTAAATATATTCAACAGAGTGCAAACTGATACAAAAAGGTTGGAATCCTGAGAAGAGAGGAAATTGAAGATAGAACCTTTTTTTGAGAGGAGCTTTAAAGAAAGCTTTTCAACTTTTTGTTGATAGCTCTTAGTCCAGGAGAGCCAACCATTTTTATTTAGTTACTTATTTTTTAAAGTGACAAAGAAATATACATATATTGTGGAATGGCTAAATCAAGTGGATTAACATATGCATTACCTCACATACTCATTTCTTTTTTGTGTGGTGAGAATGCAGAAAATGCACTTAGTGATTTTCAAATATACAATACATTGTTGTTAACTACAGTTGCTATACTGTATAGCGGGTTTCTTGGTGTTCCTACCATCCATTTAAAATAAACAGAACACAAAATAGTATCTTCAGAATCAGTTCTCTCTCCTTGTCAATTTCAGTCACTGTAATCATCATTTTCTCAGTCAACAACCATGGCAACCTCAGAAATGACCTTTATTATCCTTCAGCTTATTCTCTACACAGTAGCAGGCTATATCTGACACCAATTTTTAACTTGTTTGCAGGATATATCTGTAGACCAGATGTGCAAACCAATCTGCACATACTCTAAGCTCACATCCTATAACTTCCATTCCTTTCATTGTTGAGAAGTAGAGGAAAATAGGTTTGTTTAGGGATCATGGCAAGTTTTAATATAGGCAGTGAGTTGATGAGCTGGAAAACACAAGACAGAAATCTTGATATAAAGTGACGTGACATAGTACATGTAGGAATGAAGGCAAACATTTTTGTAAAATGTATTTTGAGAGAAACTGGCTATGTTCACATGGGACATGAAGAAAGAAGAATCAAAGTTTACTCAGTTTTTGAATCTAAGTAACAGAAAATGGTGATGCTATTAAGACCCAGATGAGCAAAAGTGTTAAGTTCAGGAGACAGGTGAATAAAACAAAAAGCCACTGAAAAAAGTGGTTGAAGAGGTGACAGAAGCCCTATGTTTGTAGCTAGACAATGACTATTCACGCCTTCTTTCTCCTGCTTAATTTATTTCCAAGATACACTCCTTCCATTTCCCAACCAGGTTCTTGAGTTCATGTGTCTAAATCTATTTCATAGAAGTTTAGTATGGGGAAAGCTTCAAGCATGAGCTTTTAAAATTCATTCATTGAAAAATGGGTGCTTTATTTTGGAAAAGGTCCATTTTTGGTGAAATATTTGACATTATTACATTGTAATGTCATTTCTTAACCAGACCTGTGGCAATAGGAAAAGAAACAATATGTCTGCTATTTCACCATTTATTTTACTTTTATTTCACCAATTAATTTGGCTATAGCTAAAGGGTAATTTCTATTTAAGATTAAAGTTTAGATTTTAATTAAAAATTTACTTTGAGAAAAATATGGAACTCAAAACTTATAACCACCAAATTGTTTTTTCTTTGTTATGGCAAAGGTGAACATGAAAACCCAAGGAATGAGAACTCTGACCTGAAGGGACTTCTGGGAGAGTTCAGTATTTCCTGATGTAAGGGCCCCAAAAGCATCAATGAGGCCATTGTTCTGGGCTTTATCTGAAGCATAAAAATGATGTCCTCCTAAAATGTAAATGCATTAATTAGACTGCTTTCTAGAAAATAAATATGTATATTTTAGTGATTATTAAGGTAATAGTTAAAACAAAATCAGTTTCAGTATGTGTTATTAAAATAGACCAAAAGCACATAGTTGTACAGATTAATTCTGAAATGCTCATTTTAAAATGTCATAACTAGGGAATGAAAGCTACCATAATGCCTCATTATCAAAATCTTAGCTAGCTAAAATGCATGATAATTATAGAATATGAAAGATGTTACAATTCCATGTATTAAAGCTCACAAACTTTACACAGCCCTTTTAGAGAATCTTTTATTTCTAACAAAATTGACTTTCAGATATTTCAGCCAGTGTAGGTTTATGGAATCTTTTGTTAAAAGATTGTTAATCTTTTATTTTAGTTCTAACAAAGTTGACTTTCAGATATTTCAGCCAGCGTAGACCAAAATCAGAAAATTAGAAAGATGAAAGAGCTGCTATATTTAGGTATCCTCACAATAATTGGCAATGAGCAGATAGAAAAATGGAAAGCAAGAGCGATAAATCCAAAAAAGTACTACTTTTAAGGAGCTACTTGGAATAGAAATAAATTTTACAATGACCATGAAAGGACTTTGAAATGATGTGATTTTGCATAACTAAGCATTAAAAATCAAGCATATATTTAGTACCATTAGAAGCCAATTCAACAGAATTTATGCTCATGTCATAAATTATATATTCTCTACTAAGTTTAAGAAGGTATTGGAAACACGTAATCCATTTTCATCACGTCTGTGTGTCTGAAATAACAGCTACCATAGTTAATGTTTACATAAAAACTTTGTTATTTAGATCTTTTCAGCCTGAGTTTCTGTTAATCACATACACCCACCCCACAGCTTATGCTCTGGTCTCACGGAGTTTTCACCATTCCCTCCATGTGCCTTGCACTGTCACCCCAATATGATGTTTTTTGCTCACGACTTGATCATCTTTTCTTAGCCCCTTTTTCTTCCCAGAGAAATTCAACACCTTGTTCAAAGCCCAGCTCAGAATTCAGCTACTTTCTCATGCTTCCTTTCCCTGGCTCTATACAACTCTAATAAAGCTAATGTCTTCCTCTGCTCACATAGAACTTGATTTTTCTATATTCCTCCTGTTATGAAGGAATGTTATCTGATTATGTTATTTCATTAACAGTTTTATTTGTCTCTCCAGCCAACTGAACTCCAAGTGCCATGAGAACAGAGATTGGGTCTGGTCCCCAGCTTCAGTACCTTCAGGGCAGAAACTCAAGAGAAGTTGTTGAACTGTCAGCCTTTACATGTATGCATTGCTATTGAAGGCCTGGAATAAATGGAACATGTTTTACCTGTTATCTTGCTCATCTCTATTACTGCTTTATCAGCAGCTGTTCCCAAAGCAATAAAATGAACAATGGCTCCACTTCGTTTCACTTCATCAATACAAGAACTTGCAGTGTAGTCCTCCCCATCAGTCAGCAGCACTACTTCAGATCCATCGAGGTGGGAGCTTAGCTCTCCAATGACCTGAAAACATAATTCAGAGCACAGTTACCAACAGGCGTTCCTAGATCAAATAGACAAATGGGAAATCAGAAAAAAATTACAGAGAGAATAAACGCAAGTTATGCAGAATAGAAGAGATAGCCTCTATTTTAAAATAAAGAATTTTCAATCAACAATCCTTGGGGGATGTTAAACATGAAAATTTTTTTAAACTCCTAGCTGCAGGGAGTATTTATTCAAATGAATTCAGTGGGACCAGGCTTTGGAAAATCATCTAGACTAAATGACAATAATATCTCAACCTGGGAAACTCAGGTCAACCAGATACCAAAGGTATAATCACAGTATATGACATTAAATAGTGTTCTGGTTTCTTTGACTGGACTACCTTCTGACAGACAAGCCTTCAGTTTATGAAGTCTCTTGCACTTAAAGCTAGATGCATTAAGAATCCACTTCAACATTTGAAAAAGTCAGTGATTACAAATTAGTAAACCCTCAGTATGCTTATAAAGAAAAAATATAGAAAGTTCTAAGCATGCGGCCTTGTTATGCAACTTTCATTTACTTCTGATAATAACTGGCACAGAACTAAGCATATTGGTGATGCTCAAAGAATATATTAAAATTATATTTATTACGTTCAATTTGTAGCTTGAATCCTTTTCCTAAATGCCAAACAGTTTGAAACTCAAAGTTTTGAAACTAGATGCCTGTAAAAGAGGATAAAGAGAACTTAGCCCAGGATGACAACTATATTTCATTTTCTTTGACAGTTTTAATTGGTGGTGGCATCTTGGAGCACCATTTTGAGACCTTGAGTCCAGGCCAAGAGGTGAAAAATAACAGATTATGAGTGGCTTTCTTTGGCAGGGAGCGGAGGTGTGTGTGCAGATTTGCAGAAGAGGGTTCAGAATGTAGAAATCCCTTGAAAGTTGGTATCAGGGAACAAACTGACCACCCTTATTTCAATTTTGCATGTTTTGAAGCAAAGAGTGACTAATACACATATTGCAATATATGGGAAATATTCTCTGACATGCATTGAAACCAAACGGAAAGATAGGAAAATGCTTTTATACATTTATGGCATTGGTAGCATCTCTATCACACTTCTCCCATGCATTTAAGTATAAAATGAAGATCCAAAGATGAAACAGAGTTCTCTCTTTCACCTCTTCTTTTCTTGCATGAGATTATTTACCAAGTATTTACAATGTGCCAGTCACTGTGCGGGGGATTCAGTAGCAACTACATTCCTACATTCATATATTAATAAATAATTGGGTTCAATGTAACAATGTTTATGAAGCTCTGTGTCAGAGACTGAGGAGATCTAGAGATGAACAACAAAGACAAAACTAATATGTATTTACCATAGAATATTCTATAGTTCAAGAGAAATAACAATGTACTGTTACAGTTTACTGAACATTTGCTATGTATTAACCATGTTTTATACACTGTATAATTTGATCCAACTCCAGGCTCCCAAAATGTCTTCCTATTACCACTTTTACTGCCTACAATTTATTTTATTCAGGGCAATTGTAATCATCTTCCTGGAACATAAATTGATTATCAAATTCTGATACTTTAAACTCTTCAAGAGCTTTTTGTTGTGCTTAAAACAAAATACAAGCCTCATATTTTTTGAAGTTTTCTAAGATCTGTCATTGTCTACCTCTCCAACCACATTTCATACCCCCTCATTTGCCAAACTCCAGTGCCACTAGCTTCTATAATTTCTTAGAATAATCTAGTTTTTTCTCACCTTTTTCTAAGGAACTTTTGCACTTTCTTTTCTATCTGAACCACTGGCTTCTTCTCATCCTTCAAATCAGAGCTTAAATGTTACTTTTTAGAGAAGGCTCATTGGCCTCCCACCCAAAGTAATTCTCCTTTCCCTGTTACTCTGTCCCATTGCCCTGTTTCATTTATTCACAACACTATCTACATAATCTGCAATTCTTGTTTTTATCTATCTATTTATTATCTGTTCCCCACTTATATATACATACCACAAGAGTCAAAAAGCTTTGGTTGGTGAATAAATTAAAGCATGTTTATACTTTGAATAAATTAAAACATGAGCAACCCTATGTATCCTATTTTACTGATGAGGTAATTGAGGACTAGAGAGGATAAGAATCATGTTTAGGGTCACAAAGCTGATAAGTGACAATTGTGATTTGAATGTAGGACTTCATGTTACAAACCTAAACTAAAATGTCATGCAATTCATGGAAGAGACACATTCAGTTGGGTTGGGAGTAAAAGGGAAGTTACATGAAGGAGAAAGGATTTTGGAGGATTGGTAGAATTTTAACATGCAGAGATGGGAGAACAGGAAGCATTTTAAGTAGAGGAACTTGCATGGTGCAAAGGTTTTGAGGCTGTTAGTATACAGGCGACTTGGAGAACAATGTGTGCAGTAAGTTGGTTGGAGGATAGAGCATCGAGAGGGGAGAATGGAGTAAATGAGGCAGGAAAGATAAATGATGGCAATTTTACTGGGTGGGGGAGACTTTTTAGTAATATCAGACTGAGAAATTGAAACAATTTTGTAGACTGAAGAGACAGTGAAGATTTCTAAACAGTAAAATGACATAATTTATATTAATTGTAAGCTCAAGATGACCATTTGACTAAAAATAATGTTCATAATAATTATACATATATTTACTAATCATTATAAATATATACTTATAATAAATTATATATTTAGTATATATAATATATGAAGTAGATATTTGCTACATAATATAGTAAATATTGTTCTAAGTATGTAAATGTATCATTTCATGTAATCCTTATACTCTATGAGGTAGGCGTTCCTATTTCCTATATTGTATACATAGGACACTGAGAGTCCAAAGGGACTGAAAGGTTAGCCTAAAATTATGTGGTTAGTAAGTAGCACATACAGTACTCTGATGTCAAAGTTCATGCTCTAACTCATATGGCTTACCCTAAATATGACTCTCAGTCTTGCTACATCTGCTGTAAGAGGTATAATAAATAGTTTGCCCTAGCTGAATGTTACAGAAACTCAAATGAGAACTAGCTTAAAGTGGAATAATAGTATACCACCTGTGTCATTGCCCCAAAAGTTGATGACTTTTGCATCCAAGCACACTTATTTAACTAACATTTACTGAGCACTGACTACTGCATGGTAACAAGACAGCAAAGTCCATGACTTCCTTGGGCTTGTAAGTGAGTGGCAAATTGATAGTCATTTATTCACCCATGGGTTGTTCATTCACTGATCCATTAAAACATCAAGAGAACTTTTTTCTATTTGTTTAGTCCTGTGCTTCTTAGGATTAATTATGTTAAAATAAGACAGCAAGTATGTGCAGTAGCACTTAACATGAAAATGTCCTGAAAAGAAACAAAAACCAAAATATATTTGCAGTACAATTTTCACCTGAAATGCGGATTTAATTCCAGAGCAGATGGAAGTTCCTCCCCAAGCGTATGTAGGTAACTTTGCCAAGAGTGTGTTTCTTTCATCACTGCTTATTATTTGGATTGGCTTATTTACAATAGTGGCAGTACTATTAAAGTGAACCATCCCCACCCAGGATCCATTTTCAACAATCTGCAGCAGGAAATATTTTGCTGCCTTATTCATTTGATTCAGGCGGTCATAACTCTAGATCAAAAAGACAAGAAAAACAAACAAGTGATTTTGACTGGAAAATAATAGACAATCACATAAAATGAATGGACAGAATTTATTGGTAACACTTTCTCTGAATAGTAATCAATGTTGTTAAAAGAAGCAATTATCAAATTTTTAATTGATAAAATTTAAAAAATGGTAGTATGTATTATGGGACACATATTGTGTAGTAAGGAGCACAGGTTTTTATTTTCAGTTGATTCTTGACTGCTAAGTATCCAAGTGAGGGGTGGAAGGTAGGGTGGGGATTGAGTTGAAATTGGGGTGAGGATACACATCTGAGAGACTGTCTAATTACTCTTGGGAGCTCCTGTGCTTGTTGTCTTCAGATAAAACCATACCCCCAAGCCTATAAATCAAACCAGACTATTGTAGACTCCAACCAGAGACTGGAATCACTCCATCCACTGGAAACTAGACTGCCCAAAAGGTAATACTTACTCAAGCTTCATTTTAAGTTTGGAGAGGCCAAGGCCCTATCTTCCCACTTTCTCCTTCTGTTCCTAACCTCTCGCTGCCGCCTTTCCACCAATGGGTTAATTGAATTGGCTCTTTGGTAACCCTCAGGACCCGGCCATTTTTCCGAGGTGATTGTCTAGGATATAAGCTTCTTCATGCATTTGTCTTCTCCAGTCCTTATCACTATGCTGATCTGTATTACTCCCCGCCAACTTATGCCCAAATTTCCTTCTGAACTCCCTGAACCAAATCACAATGAGAAACTTCTACATCTTCATTTTATGTGCTCTCTCCACTACCTGCATTGTTGTGGCTCAGTTCCTTCCACTCTATCATTATCTGCCCTTTTTAATACCTCCCTCATTTGCTGAAAACCTTATTCCTGTTCTTCAGCAGGCTTTGCTCTGCCTTAAATGTGCCATTCTTCTGGTTTCTTATCACATTGCACCCACTTGTTTGCTGTCCATTCATTTCAACATTTATTGATTATCCCTATGTGATTAACTTTATTCTAGGAAATGGGGATAAAGATGAATACGACATGGTTCTAAGTCCTAGAGGATCTTCTAGGCTAGTGGAAGAGAAATGTGTAACGTAAATATAATATGCAGTAATAGAGGTATGCACAGAGCATTGTTGGGAAACAGTAAAAGGGCTTTAACCAGCCTAGAAGTCCAGTCCATTTTCTGGAGGAATCCA